GAAGAGTAATGCTGTTTGCAATCACTCGGACCTTGCTTAAAATACTATTGCCAAAACAACTTGCCTATCTTTGCCGCATCTCTTTATACAGTGTTACTCTATAGTGTTCTAACTTGAAGTCAATATTAAATGAATCTTAATGACTCATTTGCTGTCTTCTCCACAGGCTTCTGCTCACACTGACAAAACTGTAGGTGAAGAACCGATGGGCTCACTGTCCTCGTCTTCTGAACCACAGGTGAACAGCTGTCCGAATTGCAAATCTTTGTAATTTTTTCCACGGGTATATTAGTGGAACTGGGTTTTTGAGAGCATAGACACAGTCCCAGCATTGCTTGTTCTGTCAGGGAACAGCATTATGAGGTCTGTGTGTAGATGACTCGAAGAGTAAGATTGTTGGCAATCACTTGGACATTGGTTTTTGAGAGTGTAAACACAGTCCCTGCAATGCTTGTTTCTGTCAGGTGACAGCATTGTGAGGTCTGTTGTAGATGACCGGAAGAGTAATACTGTTTGCAATCACTCGGACCTTGCTTAAAATACTATTGCCAAACATCTTGCCTATCTTTGCCGCATCTCTTTATACAGTGTTACTCTATAGTGTTCTAACTTGAAGTGGATTAAATGAATCTAATGACTCATTTGCTGTCTTCTCCACAGGTTTCTGCTCACACTGACAAAACTGTAGGTGAAGAACCGATGGGATCACTGTCCTCGTCCTTTGAACCACAGGTGAACAGCTGTCCGACTTGTAAATCTTTGTAATTTTTCCCACGGGTATGTTAGTGGACATTGGTTTTTGAGAGTGTAGACACAGTTCCTGCAATGCTCGTTCCTGTCAGGTGACAGCATTATGAGGTCTGTGTGTAGATGACCGGAAGAGTAATGCTGTTTGCAATCACTCTGACCTTGCTTAAAATACTATTGCCAAACAACTTGCCTATCTTTGCCGCAGCTCTTTATACAGTGTTACTCTATAGTGTTCTAACTTGAAGTCAATATTAAATGAATCTTAATGACTCATTTGCTGTCTTCTCCACAGGTTTCTGCTCACACTGACAAAAACTGTAGGTGAAGAACCGATGGGATCACTGTCCGTCTTCTGAACCACAGGTGAACAGCTGTCCGAATTGCAAATTGTAATTTTTTCCACGGGTATATTAGTGGAACTGGGTTTTGAGAGCATAGACACAGTCCCAGCAATGCTTGTTCCTGTCAGGAACAGCATTATGAGGTCTGTGTGTAGATGACCCGAAGAGTAAGATTGTTGGCAATCACTCAGACATGGTTTTTGAGAGTGTAGACACAGTCCCTGCAATGCTGTTTCTGTCAGGTGACAGCATTGTGAGGTCTGTGTGTAGATGACCGGAAGAGTAAATACTGTTTGCAATCACTGGGACCTTGCATAAAATACTATTGCCAAACAACTTGCCTATCTTTGCCGCAGCTCTTTATACAGTGTTACTCTATAGTGTTCTAACTTGAAGTCAATATTAAATGAATCTTAATGACTCATTTGCTGTCTTCTCCACAGGTTTCTGCTCACACTGACAAAACTGTAGGTGAAGAACCGATGGGATCACTGTCCTCGTCTCTTGAACCACAGGTGAACAGCTGTGTGACTTGCAAATCTTTGTAATTTTTCCCACGGGTATATTAGTGGACATTGGTTTTTGAGAGTGTAGACACAGTCCCTGCAATACTTGTTCCTGTCAGGTGACAGCATTATGAGATCTGTGTGTCGAAACCCTTAGTGTAATGTTTTTGGGAGCCTGCTTTAATTTCTTCTCCACCTTTTCCAGGCAATTTGTCTAGCCTTCCATAGCTTTTTACACAATGTTACCAAAGTTAGGGAACAAGAATCCCAGAACTGCATAGTTTGTGTTTGCACATGACTGGAAGTTGCCTACAAAATTATCACTGAATGCTTTCAGGGACTTCTTTATAAATGAAATGCATCCCTCAATATTCAGTTTCTGAAATTTAAAACCCTTTTAGATCAGAATTGCACTGACATTTTTAACAATGCAATGTTTTTTCTCCAGAAATGCAACCATGTTGTACTGCACTCAACATTTTCAAGCATTGAAAAATGCACACATTGCTGGGACTTTTGTTGCCTCAGGTGGAATGGTGTGAAATGTAAAGGTGAGTTTTTCTTGTGTGGTTATTACTCCTTTAGTATTTCAAAGTGGATTAGGATTGGATTTCTAATTGACTCTTAAAGTTTAACATGTATAGATCTTGTTATTCACATGTAATGGATGATCAAATATGTCATGTTTGTGATTAGTTTTACCTATGGAAATCATAGATTGTTATCTCTACTAGTGAAAATTTAAATTATGATTGTTATACAAATTACTGTTTAATAAATACGTCCATAAAAACCTTAACTTTACTCCCAACCTTTTTTTTCAGATTGTTCTTCTATATGGCACAAGATCTGCTATAAAAAGATTCAGAGGACTGATTTTTCACCATCTTCATGGGTAGGTGTCTTTAGTTCTCCTTTGGAATGTTTTTAAAAGAGCAATACTTGAACAATCTCTTTCTTTTTAAGGTTTCTGACGAATCATCTTCAGCTGATGATATTTCAGACAAAGAATACATACCTGACTCTGTCAGTTCCTCAGATAGTTCAGTGGAACTCTCAATAGATGATTCAAATCATTTCAAAGGGACTATTCTTGATCCTGGATTCATTGCATCTTACCAGACTGTCAAAAGAGTGATGGTGCAGAGAATGACTTGGCTGAAGGTTTATTTCTGAAAGTGAAGACCGTGCTAAAAAGGTTGTTCAGAAAAAGAAGAAAAGGTCTTCTGAAAATAAAACATTGACGTTCAAACTGAAGGGAGCTCTGTGGAGCAGTCACCGGATCTGAAGCTGTTGAAAGCATCCAGTCTACAAGTATATCATCATCAAGAGATGGAAAAAAACTACTGCTTTGTTTGTGGCAAGCCCCAGTCTAAGATTGCTCGACACTTAAAAGTCCATGAGAAGACAAATGCTGAAGTCGCTCAAGCTTTGGCACAACCAAAAGCCTCAAAACTGCGAAAAAAAATGATAGCACAGTTGCGAAATAAGGGGAACTCTACTCACAACAAAGAGGTTACAGAAGTGGCAGGGACTGCTAAAAATCAAACGTAAACCCAAGCTGAAGTATAACATAAACCAGTATGTTCACTGCATGTTTGCCAGGGGTTGTACCTTCGGAAGCACCTTTGGCGGCATGCTCGTAAATGTAAATCCAAACCAAGAACAACTGATGAGACAGGACCAGGAACAACTGATGAGACAGGATCAAAAAGGGTCTTGAGCTTGGCCTTAATGGCGGATTCTGGACTATGTCAACAAATATCCCAAGGTGTTTTTAAGCTCTAACAGTCATGAAGATGATGAAGTGTCTTCTGCAGTGCGAAGTGACTTTTACATTCTACAGCTTGCACAATCATTTTTCAATAAACATGGTCAAGATCCCTCCAAACATGAAATATATTCGACAAAAGATTCGTGAAGTTGGAAGGCTTTGCTGATCCTCCGGAATGAGTTTTCTATATACAACATTGAAGATGCTGTCAGGCCCTCAAACTTCCATGTACTTGTTCAAGCAGTCAAGAGAGTATCTGGCTTTGAAGAAGACAGTCATTCATATAAAACTCCTAGCCTTGCTTTGAAATTAGGACACTCGTTGCACAAGATCAGTGACCTTATATGCTGCACAGCTTTAGTATCAGGGAATGATGAGCTTAAAAATTCATGTCAGGCTTTCAATCACTTTATTCATCAAAGTGGTCAGAACTTGTTTCTCACAGAGCTTTAACAACCTTGAGTGACAAGCGCTTTAACAAGCCTTCCACGCTTCCCTTCACTGAGGATGTTCAGCGTCTTCACCAGCATTTGGAAAAGGTCGCAAATTTAGCATCTGACACTTTGAAAAAGTGATCCGTTACCACAAGCCTATAGGGAACTGTGCAGAAGTACATTGGCAAAAATCATTTTGTTCAACCGAAGACGAGGTGGAGAGGTTTCTAAAATGCAGCTGTCTGCCTTTCTAGAGAGGGACACACTCCCTTGCATAAAGATGTTGCAGTTGGTCTTACAGCATTTGAACAACAACTTTGTGCCCATTTCAGCAGGGTAGAAATAAAGGGGAAAAGGGGACGAAAAGTTGCTGTGCTTTTATCACCAGACATGGTTCAAGCCATCATCCAGCTCATTAGCAGAAGAAAGGAATGTGGAGTGCCAGACAAAAACACCTTCTTTTTGCTAGACCCAACTGTAACCCCTTACAGAGGACAAGACTGTCTGAGGTTTATGCAAATGACAGTGGTGCCCAAAACCCTGAACTTCTAAGATCAACGCAACTTCGCAAGCATGTTGCAACATTGTCCCAAGTGTTAAACCTACGAAATCACGAACTGGACCAAGTTGCAGACTTTCTGGGACATGATATACGTGTTCATAGAGAGTATTACAGGCTACCAGAGGCTACGACTCAACTGGCAAAAATTTCTAAATTGCTTCTGGCAATGGAAAGGGGGACTTTGGCAAAATCTGCAAGGCAAACACTGGAGGAGATCGAAATTGAAGGTACTTTCAAAATTCTATGTACTTGTTTGGTTAACGTTTTTATTTGTTACTGAACTGGTTTCGATTTTTCTTTTTTAGATGAGTTGGAACTGACTGACACTGAAAGTGGACAAAGTGAGGTGATTGTGACCCGTCCCCACTTGTAAATGATACTCAATGCTCTACAAATCAAGAATCTAATGAATCTTCTGGTGGTATGAATATCAATCATCATGCCTGATGTAATATTACATGTTTTTAAAATTAGACATTCAGGTGTGTTCTGTTTACTTATCCAATTACAGATGGTTTAGGAGAAGAGACATCACAAGGTACCTTGTTTTCTTTAAATTTTGATTACACATTGCTAGAAGATTTTGGCATTCTTAAGGTTTTTCTTTACCCTCCTTGACAACATTGTTGGAGTGTTTATGCTATATTCTAGGGAGAACATCCTCTATGCCATCTACTGAGAAGCCGTCAGGCACAGTAGAAGATATGACTACCTTAAAAACCCTCCCCCCACCTCACGGTTAATAATTTAGTTTCAATAACTTAACATAGTAATCATTGCACATTATAATATTGAGCTTTAATTTTGGCTAAAGGTTAGGTTTCTGTGCAGATAAGACTAATATAACAGACAACTGTTTTGTATTCTTAATTTGACAGGATGCAGAAAACCTCAATCTCCTGTTGAATTACCTGGGACCTCTTCTGGTATGACTTATTTCAATTAACCTTTCATTGGGCATTTAGTGACTTATTTTTAATTTTGTATCTTTTAATTGTTGACCTGAAGTATTACTAATGTATTGTAGGAAAGGGAACGGAGATTATTGCACCACCAACTGAAAAAACCTCAGAACCCCAAGATGGTATGACTGTCTTCCTATTCATAGTGGTTTTTTAACTAGTGGTACGGTTTAGAGATACTGTTTTAAGGCTCATCATAACATATTACAATAATTGAGTATTATCCTGAGCTTTAAAAAGACCAGTAAGAAACATGCAGAGAAGGGGTTGGGACTGTGCAATTTTTAAAAAATAAAGTGAAACAATCTTACAAAGTTAGTTGCTGATTATGATCAAGTAATAAATTGCTTAAAATCAGAATGGACAGGACAGAATCAATCAATCAATCAATAAAATTTATTTGTATAGCACATTTCAGGTACAAGATATTCCAAAGCGCTTTACATCATAAACAAAGTCATGCAACATAGAATAAAATACCAAGTGTTTTTTTTTTCTGTCACGGAATTTAAGCGCCTATTACGCCGGATGATATGAATGATAAGCATGACCTGGTTCTATAACAACAGGGTCATAAAGCTTGCAGCATAATATAAAATGAAGCTTTGAGTGATAGTTCATATTGACGTGCCAGGCCTGTAGCTTCATAATTTCTAAGTGTAATAAATAAAGTGTATCACAACTTGGTAATCAATTTAATAATTAAAAGAAAATTGGAGAAAAATAATTTTAGTGGATACATATAGGATTCATGTGGTGACTAAATGCACATTGAGAAATCTAATTGTCAAAGGGTTGTCTTAATGAAACAATAAACAGAACTGGAATGTAAAACTTTATCACAAGCATACTTTTATAGCAGATTCCTACATATGATTTATATTTTAAAGAGTAAAATTGTCTCTGTTTGTAGATTTCCTGAAAAGGACCATCTCGGAGAAATCAAAAACGGCCTGTCGCCTACAGAAATTGCAGCAGTGTTGAAACATTTTCAGAAACACATCGACACTGGAAGCTGGCAAATTAGTTGAAATTCAAACAGTGTCAACAGGCAGAAACATCCTGCTTTAATAAATCGCTCACTTCAGAACATAAGAGACTTTGTTAGAAATCGTGGTGTGTCCAAAAAGAAAAAAGAAAAAGCTAAAAATGTCAGAAAATCTTCAGCCTAGATGTTCTAAACAAAACCTTAAGAACGTTCAACCTTTTTTTGGGGTTTTTGCTTGTTTATTTTTGCAGTTTCTATAATGTGTTCTGATTTCTAAGTTGGTCCAAGACTGATGTTGTGTGAATAGACTGAACAAAACTTGAACTCTTAATCATTTTCAAAGTAATTCAGAAGATTGATTTTCAGGTTGATGAAAAAAGGCAATGCAAAATTGTTCTAGTAAGTCTGTCTAAGAGCTGTGTTTTGGTTTGCTCCCAAAAATAAAAATAGCAAAAGACAATGTCGTTTGTTTATTCCATTAATACATTTCATTTGTGTAGGTCTTGAACATTACCTTATTGGTAATGAACTAGCACTATATTGCTGACCAATATTTCTTCTTGATTTTTTCATATTTGGACTCAGATTGTTGTAGTCTGTGCCTGTGTTTATGACAAATGAACACTACCATTATTGCAGGGTGTGGATTAAATACCATTTTGATGCTCATTTTGGTACTTTAATATATTTTGGGGGACATTCTTTGAAGTCTTATTTAATTGTCCTTGGAATGCTCATTGGTACTTATAGTGTATCCTTATGCAAGAGGCGTGGCTTATCTATCTAATTATCTTTGTCCTGTTAATGTTGGAGAGTCCGGTCATTATATTTAGAGTTGTAGTGTGTATACGCAATTTTAACTGAGATCTTGTGAGTGGTTCATTGAAGATTTTGACACATTCAGCCGGTCTGTAGAGCAGTGGAAAGGGGTGCTCCTGTGTGTGTGGTTCGGTTGTTGTGTGGGGTGTGGTGTGTGTGTGTGTGTGTGTGTGTGTGTGTGTGTGTGTGTGTGTGTGTGTGTGGCAGCATGTGGGTTAAAACTGTTTCACTGCATCTGTCCGTCTCTCCTCAGGGCTGAGCCCCAACGACATCCTAAAGAACAACTCGAGCTCGCATAAAGGTGGGATCAAACAGATGAAATCAGTTTATGAAACCGCTCTGCTAAATGAAAGCTCCCACCGTTGCTAATAAAATGAATGAACATGAGTGGACTTCCTGTTGTCCTCAGATTGGGAACAAGACGAAGAAGAGGATCTCAGCGGCCTTCATCCCGGCGCGCTGTTGTACCGCTCTGCTGCGCTGCAGAACTTCCCCGTCATGGCGGACGCGCTGGCCCACGGAGCCGACGTCAACTGGGTGAACACGGGCGAGGATTCGAGCACACCTCTGATCCAGGCTGTGTCCGTGGTGAGGACAACACTTTTACTGCCCCCAACGTCCTCAGTCCTGGTGACACTTTGCTGTCATCGTCGACACCGGTCTTGATGTCCAGTTCTCAGGGCTCATGTCAACTTTTGGTAAAAGTTGACATGACATGTAGAAAAATCCACGAAAGACCTGAAACTGAACCCGAGAGAAGAAAAACTCTATGGAAATTACAGCTGTGGGGCTAAAAATAGCATCAGCATTTGCAACCCTGGTCAAAACAAGTCAGCTTTTCTTTTGTGGCACTAACTTAGTTTAGAAAAATCCAACATGTCACTCGAGTACACTTATTTGATGGAGGGGAAAAAAATCAACTTAACATAGTTATAGTCACTGTTATGATTATTTGCAATAATGTATTGATAAGTCTGTTCAGATGAACTAGACACCTGTAACTTCCTCTTTCCCCGGGTGGCCAACAACTTTAGCATTTTTTAAAATGGAAAATAAAAAAAAATGCCACTAAGAATAATGAGCAACTGTTGCCCCATTTTTCTCACCTAACAATATCCGTGTAAAGCTCTTTCTGTTGTTGTGAATCAGATAAAACACTGTAGAAAGCTACAGGTGGATGCTGCTGCAGGCCACCGCTCTGCTGCAGCAACATGTAAACAGACACTCCACGACTGTTTGCAGAAACGGCTTCCCAGTGAGATTTCCTGAGGTTTAACATGGTTACAACCTCATTAAAAAGACTTGTAAGGGTGTCAACATCTAAACATCCTCACTTTATAACTTAATCAGACTCACCATTTGGGTGTTTATCTGCATAAGTCTGGGATTCGCGCCAAGAAAATGGCAACTTGCTTCAACTTGCTCATAGCTGAAACCTGGAACTGTGGGAAATGATGACCCATATTTATTCAGCACATGCTATGAAGAGGCAAGTAAAAAAAAAAAAAAGAAAGTCACTACTGCCATTGTGACAAAAGATGGATTTGTTTTATGTTTTCCCACATTGTGGGAAATGTTTTATGTTGTGCTTCTGTGAATCACATCTACAAACTCTGTTATCTTTAATATATTTCAGTTTTCACTCAGGAAACAAGAGCAAATTATGTTGTTGTAATAGACTGCCAGTGACGCTAAACATTTCTCTTGAAAAAGCTCTGAGTTTAAAAAAAAGCCAGAAAACCTGTGAAAAAAAACCCAACTAAAATTTGACTCATTGGAAGAAAAACATAAAGAATCGGGAGAAAGTGTGTATCGATTTTACAGACAATTACAACTCTCAGACTGTCAGATTTTGGTACTCTTTGAGTCATTCTCTAACTTTCTGCTCGTGTTTGGACCAGAATGCTTTGGCAGCCTGTGAGTTCCTGCTGCAGAACGGCGCCAACGTCAACCAGGCGGACAGCAACGGGAGGAGGCCGCTGCACCACGCCACCATCCTGGGCCACACAGGGTACGACCGAACAGCCGACCCATCTCACTGCAGGATCCGTTTATTTAAAGGCTTTAAGCTGCATTTATTATTTTCAGCTTCAAGCTGGGAGGAAGAAACGTTTTAAACTGTGTAAAAGCATTTATGGGTAGAGGAAGTTTGTTGAACCTCTATCTCTGCGTTTCACTCTGACTAGTTTACTGGTTAGTTAATCTGGCAATGAACTAATCTTAATTCCTCCGGTGAAGTTCGGAGGAGTTAAAGGAAGCTCTGCTATGCTGAGCATTATTATTTTTATTTTTTATCTTAAGCTGCGTCTTCAGATATACATATTTGGGCAGGTGGTATTTAATACTGAATACTGAAACATTCAAGGAGTAAATCAAAACAACTAAAAACAAAGAGAATAACATTTAAAACTTCAGACATACATAATCATTACAACATTTACTCAGTTTTCTGAAGCAGCATTAAACCTCCGACCTTTAGCTTGTTGTGCTTCTTACTTGAAGCGATTCTCAAACACATGGTGAGATACGAAGATCTGCCTTTACAGAGAAGATTTTGATAGCTTATGAGCCTGAAGAAGTCTCTAGGAATGGAAATAAATCAATCTAATCCACAGAAAACATACTAAGTGGAGGATATTAAAAACAAATGCCGACACGTCCAGGTCTGGAAATCGGAGCAAAATTTCCACAACAGCAAGAGTCTGTCAGAAAACGCTAAACTGTCTTAACTTGACCTTCAGCAGCGTCTTGCTGCAGTAGATATGATGATGGATGACTTTACCGTCAGATAGAGACAGAACGAGATGAGGTTCTATGGGAGGAAGAACGAAACCTGAAGAAGAACAGGAAACCTCTGGAATATCGTTTATTGGACCGATGAGTCTGAAATGATTTTTTGGGACACTACAACAGAGGGCATGTCTGATTGTTTGTAAAAACAAAACAGATGCAGGTTCATGATCTGATTTCTCAGTTGCGTAAAAACTCTACAGACTCTGCGTTTCAGTGACGCCGTCTTCTTCTGACGTTTTGGTTTCTGACTTTCACCAGTGTTTGCATAGTTTCTGTTTTTGTGTTTTGCGTACGTTTGTTCTGAAAGTCCATCTTTTTAAAGCAGTTCTGTAAACTGCTGTGTGTTGTGGTTCCTGTTGTGGAAACACAAATAAAATGCAACTTCCTCCATTTTCCCTCTCGCAGCTCAAAAAGACAATGAAACGATTTGTTTCAGTGAACTGAAAGTAATTTCTTTTACAAAAAGCGTATTTCCCTACGTACGCCGCCACTCGCACTCGCACTTTACTTACACTTTTGTCAAAGATGTGGAGCAAGAATCTTTTTGCAATTCTAAACTGTAGAAGATGTTATGACATTTAGCCTGTTGGGAAACTGCGTCACCAACGTCTCAACTATTGGCACATGTGCTGCAAATGCACATAAACCACCTTTTGCCAGAGGAACGCTTAGTCAGCAGATGATATTCCTCATTTTGTTTTAAATAAGGCTCATCTGACCAATGCACTTGGATCCAGTGAAAGTCCCAGTGAAGCTAGGAAAACAAACTGATAACTGTTGTGGAGTCAATCTTCGCTCCTTCTCACTGTTCATCACAGAAAGATTTCAGCTTTGTTTGTTGCATCGTTTTTTGTTCTCACTGTATTTATACGAGGAAGTTTGCTTGGAGCAGCAGTTTTCTTTTCGTAGATTCTTGCAGCCGTTACCTTCTTTTTAAGGATCCACATATGTCTTTCACGAGACTTACCTGGATGGTATGTTCTGCTGTCTTTACCCTTTTGAAAAGTGGAAATGGGCCTCTTTGTGAGTCACAGCCTATGTTTCCCCAGGGGAAACATAGGCTTAGAAACAAAGTTCTTAGAAACTTTGTTCAACTAGTTCAGCATGAAATAAAAAAACAATATTTGACAGGAATGTTTGTAGTACTGATCATGACAGTGGAATAAAGTTGTTTATTTATATATATATATATATATATATATAAAATTTTTTTCAAGTAAAGTTTCCTTTTTTAAACTTCATTCCATGCTGCTTAATTATGCTCAACTTTAATCACTTTTTTTAGAATTGATTTTAATGTTTATTTCATTTAAGATTTAATAAGTTTGACAAACTTTTCATTTGTGCACAGAAAAAAAACACTTGATGTGTCAATTACATCATTTTTTATGATCTTACATTCAGACAAACCTTGAGTAATAACCCAAGTACACAAATTGAAGCTCTGTCACAAATCACCTGCCCATTTTTTCATATAGCTCAGGTTTGTATTGTGCAGGAAGAGGATGCAAGACTGTTGCATAAAAAATCTGAAACAATATGAGGAACTAGAATATGTTTAAATCCTGTTTTGATTTCTGCCAGATTAAAACCGTAAACCAGTCCGACGTGAACTACAGCCATGGCATCAGGCACAAATGCAAATATTCTTCTGTAATCTGCTTTTCTTGTTCGCCCAGGTTGGTTTGCCTGTTCCTGAAACGAGGAGCAGACTACAACGCACGAGACAAGAACGAGAAAGACCCCATAACCATCGCCGTGGACAATGCAAACGCAGACATCGTAACTCTGTAAGCACTCGTGGGAAGAGGAACTCTGCAGTCTAGCAGACAGACGCCGTTCTGACTGCGTCCTCTTCTTACCTTTCAGGCTGAGGATCGCCAAGATGAACAAAGAGATGCGGGAGATGGACGGAGCCTTCGGCCAATCAGGTCCGCTTCCAGCGGGGCAGGAATGCGGGGCGGTGGAGGGCGGGGCTAGAGGTGGACGGGGTCACGCCAGGAAGCGAATCCAGGCCAAAATGAATCAAATAAGCGACTGGGCTTTAGGAGGGGTGGAACGATTAGCAGAGCTGAAATCAGACCTTCAAACATGAAAAATGTAACAAAAAAATATTTATACTCAGAACAGGGAAGAGATAAAGGGAAAAGTAGGGGTCATATCCTAAGAAGATATGATTCACATTGTGAATATTAAAAGTGTTCACTTTCACTCTGCCATTAAAATGCCAGATTTTTGTGATATGAAACAGAAATGAATCATTCCAAACCTTCCCACCTTTGATTTGATGGATATTCTGTGCCTTATAATTAAAAAATAATCACTTGGTCGATGCAAAATGGAAAAGAAAAAAAAGTTGAAGTCTAGCAGTCTGTTTCTTTGGGGTCACACTAAATAAAGAGGCCATTTTTTCTGGACATCTGCCCATTTCAACCTTTTCCTTGCAGTAAAAAAAAATATTTTACATTTATTTTCTAGCACAGAATACAAATTCAAGTACTGTTTGTCCTCTAACTGTTAAAACAAGCTCCTGATTTATTCATGTCAGGAAAGACGAGAAGGGAAGTAATGCATTTTGTCTAAACCAGCCTTTACTACCCAAAGAGCCGTTTTGAACAGCGAATCAAAATTCATTCAGAGCCACAAATGTTACGTAACTTTTTGGGTAGGAATTAAATTGTAATTTCTATAGAACTGCTGTTTTATTTCCACTTGTAGGTTTTAAAATTAAGAAAAACATAATAATAATTTTAAAAAAGTGATACATTTTCTGGGATATTACTGGTGGAAATAATGAAAAAAAAAAATCCCATAGATTCTAACCTAAAGACAATCTAAAAAACACCTTTTGTCGTGGAAATTAATTGCAATCACTCCATGACAAAAGAGTAAAAACTACTAAAAACCTGGATTTGCTATTCGAATTAAAAACATTTAACACCATCTAGTCCCAAATGAAACCATACTTCCCACCGTTAAACACGGTGGCGGCAGCATCATGATTTGAGACAACACAGCCAAATAACCCAATCAAAAGGTGCTTCAACCAGGTTTTTTATTGCTTACATTTCCCACCCAACAGGCTGGTTTGTTATTTAGATTGTACACGATATGATGTCAAAGGAGTAAAAAGTTTTAAAATAACTCATAATTATTTCACATCACATGAACCTGGTGTTTTTTACATGAGTGCGTACTGTTCATATTCACACGAAATGCACATAGACACTTTGAAACAAAGCCTACAACAAAATGCTGAATGTGTTTTCAACATTTATAGCCGTGGTGTAATATACGACACACCTTTTCCAATAAGTTTGGATTTCGACATTTTCAAGACTTTCATCACCTGTAAATATGAGCATGGCTGTTCTCCCAGGTATCTAAGCTAAATTCAGGGTGCGGTTTTGTTTTTCCTACTATTCTGTGAATAGTGGCTTGGTTTACAATGTAATGTTAATATATTTATTAGCTCCTGTTAGTCAGTTTCCACGCCTCTACGGTCAGTTTGGGTGCATTTTGTCTCCACGGTCCGTTCCTCCATCACTGCTGTGGTCGGTGCGGTCCGCCTGCCTTCGCTCCCGTCTCCAGTGGGAAGTAGCGGGGTGGGGGTGTGTTTGCTCACCGAGGAGGAGAAATGTGAAACGTGTTTGTCTGCTGGTCAGTTTTTGAAGTGCTCTGCTTTGTTCACTGTCTGTCTTGTTGTGTGCTCTCCTCTGCCCGCTGAGATGTCCATCTGGTCTCAACTGCTTGCGCAGTGTGCCACCTGCAGAAACCTGAGAGGTAAATTGCATGTGCATGCCGTTCTGCGTGTGTGTGTGTTTGTGTCCGTTTGTTGTGCTGCATGCGTTGTGCTTCAGGGCTTCTGCTCGTCAAATGTGCTCTGGGGAATTCTTGGAGTTTATTTTTCTGTGCAAAAACAACTGGATTCATACAACAAGAAAGTAAATGTTCACACCCTGTGCTTTTCCACATGCCGTCATGTTAAGGACACACATTCACAGCATGGTTTTAAATAGAGCAACAAAAAGTTGTGCATAATTGTGAAGTGGAAGGAAAAGGAGACATTGTTTTCTACTATGTTTACAGACGAAGGTCTGAAAATGTTGCATGAGTTGGTATTGGTGTCTCTACCAGCGTAGCGACCAACTCGTCGTCTTTGCGAAACACAGAAACTCCAGCTCAGTCAGACTGGATAGAGACGGACCGTGAATTGGATTTATATTTGGGCTTTGACTAGGCCTTTACAACACACGAGTGGTCCTGGTAGAAACATTGTGGACGTCTAGGGTCCTGGAAAGGTGAATTTTACTTCTAATCTTTTGCTGCGTCACCTTGTTTTGTTTTTGCCATAAAGGTCACATTAGTGGAGAGCACAGCTAACAGTCGTCCTGTCAGCAGGTCATCTGTGGGAGTCTGTAGTTGCTACAGCGTTACCATGGACCTCTTGGCTGCAGCTCTGATTTAATGCCCCCCTTGCCCAGCCTGTTAGCTTAGCTGAACTGCTTCGTTTTTCTTGTCATATCTTTTTCATGTTCGATGATGCATTGCACAGAGCTCTGAAAGATGGTTACATTTTGAATATTTTTATAACTTTGTCGTATATTTTGGAGTATTAGAGTAAAGATACTTGAATGCAAATAAATCTTAACCTTTCAAAAATCCAGCTTCATTTCCTCTCTATTTACCAGTTATGCACTACTGGCAGTTTCTCTGTCACATTAATAAAATACCTGGAGGTTTGTTGTAGCAAAATGTGACAGCAATCCAGGGGTGTGAATACTTTTGCGGGGGATTGTACACTAAGAGCTGGGAGTTTCTGCACCTTTAAGAAATGTGAAGCTTCCAACCTTAAGGCTCATGTTGTTTTTTTTTTGTTTGTTTATATCTTCCAGGTGATGAAACGTACCAGGACATTTTCAGAGACTTTTCACACATGGCCTCTAATAACCCGGAGAAGCTCAGGCGCCGCAGTGCAGACCCTAAACCTTAACATCAACCCCCCCTCGCCTGTCCTTCTGTCCAGTTCCTCCTTTCACAGCCCTCAACCCAAACACACACTTTCTTTTTTTTACTTTTTACACAATGGAAACGATTGAGCTCTCAGACTTGCAAACATTTCCCTCTGGCTACCGTCCACATGTTGAGTTCAGCTGTTGCTGAAGGAACGTGTGGGCGGGTCCTGGATGCTCCCAACAAGGGAATGCTTTGTGTGATCACGTCAGCGCAGAACAATCGCGTCCAAGTGGAAACACTGGAGCAGCTTTATGAGTCCAGCATGAGGTGTTTCTATCCCCCGCAGAGCGACGCCGTCACTCTGCCAAGAGATCCTAATTAAAACCAGAAAATCTGATTTCTTCCCCCTTAAGTTTTGCTTCCCATCCCTCCTCTTCTAAAATGGGCTGTTTTTTATTATTATTATTATTATTCTTTTAATACTGACTTTTTAAAATGTTTGTTAAAGACAAAAATATTGCAAAAAGAGCATTTTTATTCCAGTAAAATACCATAAAATCTATACAGTTGGCAGATTTCAACTTTACAAAAGACAATATTTATGTGTATTTTGTCTACATCGTGTGACATCATCAAATTTGCATTTGACCAATAAACAAAACAGTGCAACCGTGCGTTTAGTGTGAGTGCTTTTCTTGTAGACGTCCACCAGAGGGCGACGAATCATAAGGCTGGGACAGACACAGTGACAAGGGAACCGATATTCACACAGATGACGTGATTAATCTGAGAGTCTGAGCAGCTTTGAATGCTTTATATAAAAATAAAAATGCCATTTTAGTTTATTAAAAAAAATATTCCTGCTCAGTAAAAAAAGTTTTCACCTGTAAACAGTTGCCTCATCACTGTTGAGTATTATCCAAAAGCCTGTTGCATTGCAGCAACCCTGCCAGTAAGCAGCAGTTCATGGTGACCCAGATGTTCACCCAGCTGTTCCCAAGGCCAAACATATTTGGTGCTACAAAGGCGTTCTTGGTTTATGGTTTACAGAGGTTCAAAGAGCACGTGCAAACAAGATGAACAGGTCATTGAGAAGAGCAGATGAGAAAATAATCTTGTGCTCCTGCAGAGAAACTTCTGACGAAACACCGAGTCGCTAACAGTGAGCAGAACTGACATTCATTCGCATGACTTGGTAATAATGTGGAGTCATCAAAGTGGAAAACTGCACCCCATTCCAGGTTCAAGAAACTACTTCCAATCTTCACAAAAAGTCATTTAGAACCTGAGATTCTGTCTTAAAGAGGCATTACAACTCAAAATACGGATATGATTGAGACCTTTTCATTGACGTTGTCTTTAACAACCAATTCGGCTTTAAATCAAATCTATAATGAAACACTCCTAAACACTCACAATTTGGATTTGTGACGTTTTTAGAAAAACCCTACAGATGTAGATAATCCCCACAGAGTTGTAATCCAGCCTTTATTACAGGCTGAATTTGTGTTAGTAATTATCAGGCAAACCAGGTTTAATAACCCAAGGATAAATCATGACAATGCAAAATTCAAATATGCAGCTCACTCAGACTTACAGAGCTGAGTCTGTTGAACATGTCAGTGGTTTGTTCTTAGTAAGTATATCGATTAGGAGGGTAACGCCATGAAACTGATGAGAACTGTTGGTAATAACCGTCCATCTGTTCAAAATGTTGAACCATGCACCGCTGTAATTCACTCATACTTAAAAATCAAAACAAAAATCTGGTTCTGTGAGATACAGCAGAATGACACAGGGAGTATGTAGATGGGCTGAAGAAAAGGAGACGCAAAAGACAAAACCAAGAAACCAGTTGACAACTTCAGTCAACTTTTAGAAAGCCACCCTCGTACCTGACATTGCAACATGGTAGGCTATGAAGACATGTCCTATGACCAAGGTGTCCCGCAAGACGCATCTGACGACGTGTAAAAGCAAAGAAGTTTGTCAAGACTTATCATCGTCATGTTAAGGGACCTGTCTTTTTAGCATTTGTAAGCTCAAATGACTGAACCAAAAACTTCCCGATGGTAATCTGAAGCTGATGAACCAAGTGTGGCTTTAAATGCAAGGCAATGATCAGAAACACACAACCAAGGAAACTCTCAGTCGGTCTCAGAGACGCCACCTGAGCTGTAAGCGTGGCTCAGTCAAACGTTTAACTTGAAATCAATTCAAGAAGCAAGGCTCAACCAAAACTTTAGGTTTTAAAGACAGATTGTGTGGAGGAAAACACCAGTGAACCATTTATGTGCTAACTTCAGTCGATTTCTTTGCATATGGGGATTTCGAGGGTTGCTACCGACATCTTTTGTATAATTTCCTGCTGATAGACTCAGAAACGAAATGTGTGTCAGCACTTATTGCCCCAACAATAGTTGCAGAACTGTTTTCTTGCTTCTTAATTTCTTTGTCAAGTATGGTAAAGATGCACGTTAATTGTGCATTGCTTTGGGTCTAATCCTGTGAGGTGTATTATTAACACCCATCTCACCTTTTGCAAACAAAAGACGTTCCCGATAAGATCACCTTTCTTTTGGTTCCACGGGTTGATAGTTGAGTTCAGACGAGCAGCCGTCCTTCTGTCCTAGCTCTAAATTCAAAGTCTCGCTCTTGTCAACGACGACGGGTCTCTGAGGAGATGGAGGCTCCACACAGGAGAAGTAGTGAGGCAGCGTGGTTATGGTCAAACTACCGAGGAGCACAAAAGAGCCGGCGACCACAAAGGAGGCCGTGTAGTTTCCTGTCACGTCTCTGAGCCAACCTGCAGCACAACACAATGGAGTCCATCAGAGCTTATCTGTCCCAGGGTGGAGTGGTTAATCAACATAATGCTTCAATGAATTTCAAACAAAGCTCCAATTTGAGAACTCTCTCTAAAAGTCAAGAGTACATGCTTATATATACGCATATCATCACTAATATTGACTTGTTTTGGGATTCAGAGCCATGATACCTTATATTATCACAACTATAAGTGAAAGTGAAACAGAGTCAGCAAGTTGAGCATGAACCTTTGAACTGTGCCGTCTCATCCTGCGTCGTGAAAACAGATTACACAAGATGCTTTCATAAAGAAATAGTTAAAACATCAAAAATTAGCTACTTAATAACTGTTGATCACGTGACTCGGGTGACTTGGAGAAAGTGCTTCGATGCAACAACAACAAAAAAACGCATCATCCTAGTGCAAAAAACTTTGATAACACTTTAGTTGACGGGGTGTCAACTTTGCACTCAGTAAATAATGACACTTCTAATGCACTTTCATTAGAAATACATTAAAATTATCAACTTTACACTGAAAGTGTCATTATTTAAGTGTTGACGCTTTGTGAAAACAGTCGTAAGCAGTTGTGAAGACTCCTTTATCTTCATGTCGGGTGTTATGTCACATTTACGACGGTTCTTATGCACACCCCTTCAAATGAAGTGTTACCAAAACTTTGAATTAGTAAAAAATGTTAGTTTTTTCGAAACTGGCCAGTTTCCAGTAAGCAAATTTATTTTTGTGATTTCAATTTGCGCAGTTCTGAAGTTAATAGAAACTCAGCTGATGTTTAGCTCTGTGCCATTAATTTGGTTTTAGCTGTGTCTCCTTTATGGTCAGACATTAAATGACCTGTTGCTGTGTTTACATGTATCTGTAACCACTGGCATTGACTGCCACACACTTTCTGTACTGTCTTTGCTTTCTTTCCGATAGAAATTAATGAGATCGTTATGCTCTGGCTGTCTGTGGACCTGTCTGTCTTGCTCGGTGGCTTGCGATGACAGTTGGTGTTAATTGTTGTAATGAATTGGTGAACTCTTACCTGACAGGGGAGTACCCAGCAGCCCTGCACAGCTCTCGATCAGCTGTAATAGCCCAAGGCCTCCCATCATGCGCTCCACGCCCATGATCATCGGCATCACAGCAAACACCATGGAGGTCAAAGCGCCGGAGCAGAAACCGTAGAGAAGGCTGATCACAATCATTACAGCATAGGAGCCCGTCAAGGAGCTGACGGGCAGCAGCATGATGAAGACTCCCGCCAAAGAAGTCCACAAGGTCAGCAGATGCAGCGCCCGAAAGCGCCCCAAGTCCGAGAACCAGCCTGACGCAATTCGGCCAAAAATGTCTGTGACGCCTGCAGCTGACACGATGAATGCCGCCCGGTACTCGGAGAAGCCCACCTGGCGGCTGTGGGCCACCAGGTGGAAATATGGCACAAAGTAGCCGAAGTTAAAAAGCGTTACACCTAAGGTGTAGGTGAGATAGGGCCTCTCGCAAAGCAATGACACCTCCAGGTAGGAGGAGACTCTCTGCAGGAGGTCAGGCCGTGATGATCTGCTCTGTGAGTCCACCTGCAGAGAAAAATAACTAATCACTGACAGAATTCTCCATTTTTACGCAGTTCTTCAATTAATGCAAACCTTCGGACAATAAATCTATGTGTGAACCAGAACCGCACAGCATGTGCGGTTCTGGTTCCACTTGTCAAGGCCAGCGAAGCTGGTTTGGTGACACGAACTCACTCACTCTTTGGTTACCTAGCAACAACTCACTCACTCTTCGGTTACCTAGCAACAACTTGTTGAATAACTTGTGCAGCAGCAGTTTCAGGTTTCACCAACATGTCTTCTATCTGCTTAAAAATAAAAACCAACGACTCTGAATGGAAACTGTGGATGAAACAGGAACGCTCACGGCGCCAGTTTGGCTTCATTTCAGATATTTAAAACAAGAAACTAATTCATAATTATCAATATCGACTGATATAAAATCCTTATATTGTGAGTTTTTGTCAGCCATATCGTCCAGCCCTACTTAACCTTTAAACACAACCCTACATATTGCTGTTCCTTTTGTGCTTATGAGCACAAAGGGAAAACTTGCTGTAATATTTTTATTTACTAACAAAATTTTATAGGTATCAAAAACCGGAAAACATTTCCTACCTTTGTTGAGGCTTTAGAGCGAAACTGTGGTCGGATAAGGGCTCCGCAGGCCATAATGTTGAGGCTGAGGCCCCCCAGGATGAGCAGGGCTCCGCGCCAGGCATACGTCTCCACTAGCAGCTGGAAAAGCGGGTTAAAAGCAAAGGAAGAAAGGCCGATGCTAGAGAAACCCAGTCCCACAGCCAGCGCTCGTCTACGAGTGAAGTTAGCCATGACTGTGGCCACCATGGGGGTGAAGACCAGCCCCCAACCCAAACCTGGAGGACAAAAGGCTAAATGAAGAAATAGAACTGTACTTTTTTCATCTAACCCTAAAAAAACACATGTAAACGGATTAATTCATTTATTCTGCAGAAATAAGTAAAAAAAAAAAAAAAAAAAAACTGGCCATTGACACCCGAGTACAGTGGTTTGAAAAGCTAACGCAAAACTAAGCTCACCTGTGATTACTCCCATAGTAAGGTACAGGTGAACCAGGCATGTGGCCTGTGAGGCAAGGATAAGTCCGAGTCCGGAAAAAAAAAACCTCCTGTCATCACAACCAGTCTGGTATTATATGCATTACATAGAGCTGCACCGAGCGGGCCTGCAAAAGAAAACACCACAAATTAATCCTTACTAAACAAATCAAACACAGGATGTTTTCCTTGGATTTGAGAAAATCAAGAGTTGACTCATTTCAGAAAAGACATGATAGAGTCGCAGTGAAATACTGCGACTCTATCATGTCACAGTATGACATGATAGAGTGTATAATGGATAGTATGTAGTATGATAGATAATATGTGCTCACATATTTAGAACACCTAAATATGTTTTCTAGAATACATGTTTGTTCTAGAACTGTACTTTTTGCACAATAGATACATTACTAATTTACCAAGTAGTAAGGTATTATATAACAGATCACAACATATTTTAGGGTTTTTCTTAGTATTTTAAGGAAATTGAGTGTCTTCTGACAGAGATTATTACAGTATTCTTTAATTATTTAAAGATAATAAGGTAGGGTTCAACATTAGACTCACTGAAGAACTGCTGCGCTGCCAAGCCGATAGATGAGATCCAGGAGATGGCCTGAGCGCTCTCCTCAAAGAACTGGACAAACTCCACAAAGAAGATCCCCAAACTGCGCATCAGTCCAAACACCAGGCTGGTACTGACGAACATCGCCACGACCAGCACCCAGCCCCAGCCTCCGTCTGGGCCCTCTGCTCCATCTCCCTGGCTCTGTGATTTCCGCTTTCTGTTGCTCATGTTATCTATACACATATAAATACATATTTATGTGTATATAAATATAAAATAAATAAAAGAGGGCTGTTAGAAGTGGACCTGTCAGACTCTGGAGAAGCAAAAGTGCGGAAAAAGACACAGATCTTTGCTGCGGTTGTCAAAGTGGTAATGATTAACCTCCAATGGGGCAATAAACTCTCCTGGTGTGGAGTATGTAGGACTAAGCTGCTTAACAAGTTGGCCTTCATTGACCTGATGTAGGTCAGAGGACACGAGAAGCTCCTCACATGTTGGTTATTGATTACAGATGGTGAACTGGTGTGCACAAGCAATAAGCTATTGCAATAAGTAATTGCAGTGTCACCAAAATGTCTAATTACACATCTCTCTGTAAAAAAGATAATAAAATAAAATACATGACAACTAATAAATAAAGCCAATCATCAGAAAGGTACATTTTCCTGGATTTACTAAAAGAAGATGCCAAGATCTCTGTCTACTGGAGTTAAACTATTTTGTAACTACTTTTTCAACCATTCTCAATATTTCTTTAGAGAGACTTCTTTGCCACAGGTAAGATCTAAATGTAAACATAAAGTTAAAGTTTGATTGTATCCTAAATCGTCCTGCCATACTCACCTCTCTCGTAAATGGACGTGACGTAACAACATGCGACCCCCTGCTGCTGTTGCCACTAGTTATAAAAACAAAACATATAGCCTGAAGCGTGTTTCAACACAGTTTAGCAGATTAAACGAAAGTACTTTTGACTTTTTCCGCCGTTATAACCGTTATAACCTCGGCGCCAAAAGTGGGGATGAAGGGGGGGAACTAATAGCTTCGTGTCATGTGACCCGGCCGGAGTGGACAGTCAGGACACCAACCGCCTGCTGTAAAAACTTATCCGAGGTGTCTGTGACTCGACTCAACTACTCACCCGGTGTGTCCGTCCGCTCCACGGCTCCTCATGGTCCACAGTGTCCCGGTTCAAACCAGAAAAGTGAAAGCATTAACTGGGTTCGCTCCAGCTGCTGAGTCTGCGCAGAGAACCACCAACAGGGACTCTGAGAAATGCAAGCATCCCACATCTCCTGTTGATTTCAAATAGAATTAAATATGGTCAAGGTGTGTAGTTGTTTAAAATGTTGGGTTTATTATTTTTTTTCTTATAACAACCTTGTAATCCACCGATTGGATTGTCCAGATGAGATTTTCTTTAGTTTTTGCTCTTGGTTTAGTTTCCATGATTGACACTAGAGGGAAGCAGCCTCCAGGTCTGGAAATCAGAAATGACTTGAGCCGCTCTGCTCAATTACAATCAAGCTTTAATCACATTCAGAAAGAATCCTACAACCATTGATTTATAGTGTGTATGGCCATATTGGGTTTAAAAATTTAAAAAAAAGCAAATAACAAAAATGTAATAAATTACTCAATAAATTAACTTTTTTTGAAAAATAAAGTTGATCTGTTAGCTGAAACTAAAAGTCAAATCAAGACACAAAACATGATCACCACTTTACACATATTCGAGTTCAACATTCGACTCTGGATTTTATTATCAAGACCAGTCAAGACTGCAACTGTGAAAATATTACTAAACTCACAGCATCACGTCCATACTGGCACAAAATAATGTTTTGCATCAACAATTTTGCTCCAAGTTTTGTCCTTCTCACTTCTGCTGATATTTCTTGTACAAAATGTTGAATAAATATCCATATTGTTCACATGTCACCTACAGACAGTCCTCCATCTCCAGTGTCCACTGGACTGTGGTTGCAATGTCATCAGTTCTTTGTTTGGGATTCCAATAGAAATGTTAAATAGCCTAAGAATCGTTTGACCGAGCCACAGATAGAACCCTAAATAACCTATTTAGACAGTTTATAAGCAAAATAAAGTTGACTTGGAGGTGAATTTTACTTTAAATGATAATATTAGGTAAAGAAAACAGGGTGGGAGTATAAATGAAGCCTGGAAAGTCCCGTCAAACTTCCAGTATTTGTCCACAGAGCTCAGACAATAAGCCTTGGTTCATCAGGGAGCAGGAAGCGGGGATGACAGAGGGTGGGAGAGTTCACAGACACCCCATCACCTTCAGGAAGCCCCCGCACGTGTTTGAGTCTCGCGCGCAGCTCGAAAGAGCTGTGACTCTGGAGGAAACAGGTGCCCTCTGCTTCATTGTTTCCACCGCGAGAAAAACACGGAACACGGCCTAAAGAATTGGTGGAATGGATTTGGATTAGGATAAAAAAGACGACACAAAGACACACACACTCTCATGCATAAGATCAATTCAGAGAGGCCGCTTAACCTAACAATCCTTTTTGTTAAACGTGTGAGGAAGTCGGAGTACCCAGAGAAAAGCTACGTATAAAGAAAGAATGTGGTTTCTCCATGCAAAAATTGAAGTATGGACAGTAAAAAAAACCACAAAAGACTTTGAAATGATAGAAAAATTATTTTATTTCAAATTTGTCCTGCAAATGAACTCATACGAATTTAAATGGCTTCAAAACATTTCATTTAAATACCATCATTTGAGTTTATTCTAGTCTTTATTCAGTACAAGAGAACTGATCCCTTTAGTTTGGTTTGAACTCCCAAGATTATAAATTATTTCTTATAGATGCTTAAAAAAAACAATATAGAGGCCCCAGGCCGTCAAGTTAAATACATATTTATGAAAACAACTCATGAAATGCTTCTCTACATTCAGACGAGATGCACGTGTTTCTTTTCTTCCTTCTGTCCACATCCAAGATCTTTCTACAAAATTTTATCAACACACCTTCTTCTCTCTCTCTCCCTATCTTTACATCTCCTCACAATCCTTCATCAACACTTTACTTTGGTCCTTTTCATTCCCTCTTCCTTTATCAACATCCACGCACATTCACACATGGTCCAGACGTTGTTTGATAAAGATGGCTGAAATGTCGTGAAAATAACATTTGCAGTAATTTTAAGGCCAAGATCTAACTTTCAGTTCTTCGTAAGTCAATTAAGAATCAGGCGAATCGTTTTCTGACAGATTTAGTTACAACCGATGTGATCCGGTATGCAGCGATCGGCGCTCCTCAGCAGGCCTGCAGAAGAGGCTGGAAGGGCTCGGTCAGCACCTTGTAGCGGATCTTGGTGTTGGTGATGGCTCCGTGTTTCTGCCGTAGGTGCAGGCGCAGCTGGCTCTTGTGTCGGAAGTGAAGGTCGCACTTCTCACACTGCAACGCGGAAACACAAGCACCCCACAGATTAAAGGTCGGACAGGGTTATCAATCCGGGTTGGCTGGATTTAATTTTGTGCAGGTGGGAGGGTTTGGAAGTTGTTTCTGTTACATACGGAGTAAGGTTTCTCTCCAGTGTGGATGCGCAAATGGCTCTTGAGCGTCTGCAGGTGGCGAAAGCGGGTCCCACAGGTGTGACAGGGGTAGGGTTTCTCACCAGTGTGGATCAGGACGTGGGCCCGGAGGTGGGCAACCTAACACCAGGACAGAGCAAAGGAAAGGTTGAGACCCGACACATTCCAAGAAAACATTTTTTTTCGCTGTCACATTTCACATACTTGTTTGTTTAAGCAAAAAGCTAAAAAAAAAAAAAAAAAAAAAAAAGACATCAATGTTATTTTTAAATACTTAACTAAAAAAAAGAAATATGCAGACTCTTAAAGTATACAGTGGAATCAGTAGTTGTTTTCTTGCAGCTTTTTTTGCTGTCTAATGAAAATCAATACTTGTTCCTCACTTGAATTGCATGTTTTCTTGTTTTTGAAGATTCTGAAGATTGGCTAAGAGAAATGGGCCCCTCTGTCACATCCTATTGAAACCCCAATAAAACAGGAAGTCGTGGACTACTAACTGAAAACTCTTGAACAACAGATTTCCTAAAATCAACAGATTTTAGATTTCCTAAAATCTGTTGTTCAAGGGGATTATGTTGCAAGTCAGTAAATATGCTCAGATTAAAAGATTAAATTGGATTTTTAATTTGATGTTGTGAAACTGATACAAGACAATAAAAGAGGCTTTTGTGCATCTTTACCAGGGGTTGCAGTAAGGGAAACCAGATGGATGGCTGTTGCATGGAACAATTTTTGGCATGAGGTTATATTTTTCTGTAAGTAAATACATTCTAAGCATTGCAATGCTGTGTTGATATTTTTTGGAAGTTAAAACTCATATGTGTTAGTGCTGCCACACCCAGATTAACCAGGTTAAACTAGGTGTAGGCTTTTAAGAACAAGTGTAACTTTTCAAAGCTCATCTAAAATATTAAGATATTTATAAGAAAGCAGAGATTAGAAGTCAGTGTTGACCCATCATGGCTAACTCCTGTAGAATGTGAGGTTCATCAGTTGTTTTAATGCCCCGATCTTTCCTGACCTGAACAAATCGAGCTCCACAGGTGTCGCAGCGGTATGGTTTCTCTCCCGAGTGAATGCGGGTGTGAGTTTTCAGGTTGGCTGGTCGGTTAAACTGAGCTCCGCACACGTTACAGCGATACGGCTTGTCTCCTGCCAGAACAAAATTCACTCCTGTTACACGCTTGTTATTTTTTCTCAACCAAAATATTAAAAAAAATTCAAAATCAGCAATAAAAAGAAACAGAAATATGTGTTGAAAGTTTCACCTGAGCAGACAGATTTGGTTCCCTGAAGAGAGCCAGAGTAAGCGAAGGGCAGGTAGCGATTCTCGCATTTGATTGGAGGTTCGCCGAGTTGGGCAGCTTCCGGATCAGATGGAAGAAGTTTAGGGATAATGGTGCCAGGTGAGCCTGGAAGAGCAAATAAGAAAACAAAAACTGCTTTAGACACCAGATCATTGTTTTTTCTCAATGACCTGTTTGTTTGGGCCTACCTGGCTCCTTCTTGTGGGAGGCAGACCCTTTTGGGAGATCCAGAGAGGGAGGCGGCCCGAGGGGAGGGGCTCGGCCAGAACCCTCGTAGCAGGAGGCCTGCCCCTGTCTGAGGGAAAAATTCAATATATTTACCATAATCGCCTATTTTTTCTTTCTTTATCTTCATATTTCTCGCATTTGTCAGGTTTACCTATCAATCTGACCAGGCACTTCTCCAGACCACGCCTCTGTTGGAGCTTTGAAAGCCAAATCCTGACACTGAACCTCCTCTGAGTCCTCTACTTTCACCGCAGCAGCAGCAGTGCAGAGAGGGTTCAGGATAATGTACTTGTACTTCTTCCAGTTGCAGGCTTTTGGGTCTGGTGCGGCTTTGGTTTCAATCTAAGAAATTGTAAAATTAGTCCTATTTCTTTCAGTTTTCTGGTTAATAACAGCCACCATTTTTTTGAGGGGGTTGGGGGGAACGTACCTCTGGGTTTTTGCTGCAAGTGCTAGACTCGGCAGGAGAGTTTGGATGACAGCTGGATCGGTCTGGGCTGTTTGGGGATAAAGTCCGGGCGTCCAGGACAGATGAGTCAGGATGTTCTTTCACCTCGTCTGACCCAGGCTGGCAGGGTGGGAAAACCCCTGGCTTGAGAAAGCCTTCTGCAACAACAGGGAACCTGCAGGAAAAACAAAGGAAGTTCTGTAATGAGCCCAACCTGCCGACAGACAAAGGCCCACAAGCTGCAGCAGCAGCTGTACTTCTGGCAATGTGCAAATGGAACAAAAATAACAATTTCCTCCGTTTTCTGAGTAATCCGTTTTTGTCATTTGAAGACTAACCTTCTGTCTGCAGCTGCTGGGAGGGACTGCTGGGGTCCTGGACCGGGCAGTAACCCCCCTTTAGGGGACGCAGAGGCTACAGAGACACTGGAGTCCAGCTCCATCCGCGGGTGTCTAGCACTCACGTTCTCTGTGCTGGAAAAGAAACGTCAAAAACATGAAGCAGATTCACAGCACATGCTTAAAGGGGCAGTATTATGTGTTTTTCAAGCACATGGCACCATTTGATAGCTGTAATATCCTAAACATATCAAATATGACTTAAAATAAATGTTGGTTCCTGATTTAGCACCTTGAA